GGGGGTCATTATACTATGCCTAAAGCAATGTTTTTCAACTGGCATTTTATAGAAGTATGCAACATGCCTGTGAATCTAAGTATTAGATGCACAGGAACATGACATTCCATGTCTTGCTTGCAAATTTAGCTAGAAGGCATTGTAGATACTTCATATTTATATGCTGAAAAAGTGGATGAGGCCCACAGAAAATAAAATTGATTTAAAATAAAAATACTAAAATAACTAAATGTTATTTTCCTTTTAATATATTTTGTCCCCTACACACACACACACACACACACACTTACACTTAACATGCCATAATAAATAAAATCCTTGTTCTTTTCAATCATAGATTATCATGTGGTATCGTAAAAAAGATGTCTGCGTGCCAATATCCTCTTCCTCAAAACCCCTTAAATTATCCTTGCATTCTTTACTAAACCTTTTAATAACTGACACACATATGTATGGGCAGTTTCAATTTGAAATCCTTTGGACTACCATTAGCAGCTTAAATATCAAACAAGGGCTAGAGAAGAAGCATGAGCGAGCTGTTTGGTTGTTGTTTTTCCTTCTGTGGTCTGGGAATGTCAAAACCTATCAACAGCTAGAACCAATTGCCAGGTTTTCCTGATAGACTGGCCATTTTTGGCAAAAGTAGCTTGATAGATCATGTAGGTGGGCAGAACTTCATGAGGATCTTTATATTTAGCAGTATAGTTCTATGCTATCATATTGCTGTAGCTTGCCTCAATGCAAATTTTAGATATGATAAAAAAACATTTTATCATATATCATATGTATAACAAAAGGTATACAATAGTGCTCATTACATTTTGCAAAGGGTAAAAAGAAAAAAGTAAAAGAAAAAAGTAAAAAGAATTTCAACCAATTACTGGTGAAAAGCAATAGTGAATGTCTGTGTAATGCAGGCTTGCTGGACAACTTTTATTAGTGTTAGTTCATGTTCGAAACTTTTCCAGAGAAATGTGCAGTCCTTACACCCATATACAGACACAAAGTAAAAAAACTGCCTTTTAGTACAGCTTGACATCACAACATATTTTATGATGTAGTTCTACAGATTTTGGTTGCCTATAATTTTGTAATCTGAGAACATTTAATTCAAACAACTGAATTTCTACACCAATACAATGCATCTTCCATTTTCTGCTAAAACTGTCAATATTCAGTCAGTAATTTCAAGTCATTCATCCTTTACAGCTTAACCAATTAGTGTTATAAGGAAAAACATATATAACCCAAAAAATCACTGTACCAGAGAAAAATATCCATCCATCATTCTCTCAGCCCTGCTTTGTATACCTTTCACTCCTATAAGTTGGACCAATGGTGATCCACTAGTGTCTCTTTATCAGGGCAGGTGGATTACAATTGTGCCCAAGTAGAAAAGAAAAAGAATGCAGGTTTTTCCCAACTTTCAATAAACAACATATTCTCCCATTTATTAATTGATTTATATAGCCACTCATTCTGTAAAAAAATAATTCTGTGCAGTTCACAAACAGTAATAAAATGATAAATAAGAAGATCATAACCACCAATATATCAGATAGAACAACTGTCAGGTCTCCAATGTCTCCCAACATCTTTGGGGAAAACACTTATGCTTCACAGAAGGCAATAAAGCCTATGTGAGATTTAAAGCTACTCTAGATAGTCTATAAAATATTTTCATATATAAATGGAAATATAAAAATGCATAATATGATAAATAGAAAAAAATATGGTATGAAGCAATTCAATTTTTGGATTCTGTCATGTAAACATATAAACTTGGGTACAGCAGTGTTCTACATGAGGTTGCACTTGTCTTCAATTTGGCATTTGGAAGCTATAATGGATGCAAAAGGGGCGTTGGTCTTACCTGATATGCCTTTTCTCTTTGAGTGGAGATAGTATCCAGGAGTTGGTTGACCTCGTCTTGCTAGCTAATTGGACTAAGTCTGTCAGAGCTGTGAAGATACACCTCTGTTACCAATGGTCCCCAGCTTTTGGCGAAGGTGTTTTCTTGAATATGGTGTGCACCACTGGATTCGGATCAGACCTCCTCCACGGTGGGACTGTATACGATCTCCACCCAAAGAGAAAAGGCATATCAGGTAAGACCATTGCCCCTTCTCCTTTGTGGTTGGAAAAAGCATCCAGGAGTGGGACATACTAAAGCTGGCTGTCCTAAGGGTGGGCCACCGTCTGGTCCAAAGTCCCCTGGTCAGAGTGAACCCTCTGGACAGGACTCGCCTGCCAAAGGCCACTTCAGCTGAAGCAAAGGAGTCCTGCCTTTAATATTTGATTAAAGGGGTTGGTGAGGACCATGTAGCTGCTCGGAAAACCTCTTCAAGGGAAGCTGGGTAGCCCATGCTGCTGTCGTGGCAGCACTCCTCATGGAATGTGCTGTGGCAATGGAAGGACCTGCAGTTTGTATGTCTTGGCAATGCAAATCGTGATCCATCACCCCACAGTCAATGGAGTGACTTTACAACCTAGGGTAGAGGGCTGGAAGGAAACAAAGAGGGACTCCATCTTCCTGAAGGGGGAAGTCCTCTTAATATATATGCAGAGGGCCCTTCTTATATCCAGAGTGTGCTACTTCTTCTCAAGTGTGTTTAGTGGCTTCAGACAGAAATCGGACAATAAAACCTCCTGAGCTCTGTGAAACCAAGAGTTCACCTTTGGTACAAAGGAGGGGTCCAAATGCAAAATCACCCTATTTGGGAGAAAGATACATAGCTTTTCTGCCTCAGCATCAGGGCCTTAGAGTGGGTGCCCCCCTGGTGATTTATATGGGCCTTGGTGGTCACATTGTCTGTTAGGACCAGGACATGTCTTTCCAACACTATGCCTGGAAATGTCTGAGGGCCAGATGGACTGCCCTAAGTTTCAGCCAGTTTATATTGTGATCCAGATCAGCAGTAGACCACTGTCCCTGGATCATCCTGGACTGAAGATGTACCCCGCCAGCCAAAAAGACTGGTGTCAATAGTAAGGGGCTTGGCTCCTTAAAGAGGCTCCCTATCAAAAGGGCCTGTGAGGACCAGCACCAGAAGGAGCAAATCACTGCAGGGGGAACCTTGACTTGGGCAGTGAGATGCTCCTGCCTGCCCTTTGGTAGGGCAGGAGGAATTACTGGAGAGGTTTGGTGTACAGGTATGCTCAAGGCACAATGGAAATACAAGAAAACATTTTAACCAGGAGCCACAAGAGAAAAGCCAGAGGCACCATCCTATCCTTTCTGATCCAAACTATCAAATCCCTTAGACTTGTCTGAAGCTCCTGGGATAGGTATACCTTGCACACAGTGGTGTCCATCACTGCTTCTAGATGGAGCAAACGGTTCATAGGAGACAAGTGTCTCTTCTCTGCATTGACAGAAAAACAGTGCTCCTGAAACACCTGGATGGTGATCTTCAAGTCTTCCCTAGCCTGTGAGCAGAAGAACTGCATCAGGATGTCATCCAGGTAGCACTGAACATACATGGGAAGAGCCCTGAGATGGGCTGCTAGAACAGCTAACAGCTTTGTAAAAGTCCTAGGTGCCAACAACAGGTCAAAGGGCAAGGCCCTATATTGGAACTGCTGGCTGGCATAATAGAATCAGAGGTATTGCCAATGAGCAGATAAAATAGGAATATGTAGGTAGGCCTCCGTCAGGTCGGTTGAAGTAAGGAAGTCACCCTCCCTAATGCTCTCTAGAATTGACTGGAAAGAGTGCATCTTGAACCGCCTGTATGTAAGCCGATGGTTCAGCCATTTCAGATCCAGAATTTCCCTACACACACACACACACACACACACCGAGGCTTTGGGAATTACAAAGAGAATGGAATAGAATCCCATCCTCTGTTGGTCCTCTGGAACTAGTTGGATAGTGTTGATATCCAACAGGTGTTGAATAGCTGTTTCCATGAAGACCCTTTTTGAGCTATCCCTGGAAATAGGATAGCACATGAAAAACCTCAGGGGTGTGGAGAGGAACTCTAGGGAGAGGCCGGACCTAGCTGTCTCCAGGATTCAGGCATTCATGGTGATTTCCTCTCAACTCCTGACAAACAATGCTAGGCGGCCTCCAATGGGAAGGTTGGCCGGAAACTGCCTGTTTCTACCTGCCCGATCCTGCTGCTGTTCTTGTCTGGGGACAAAGGGCCTCTGAGGATATGAGAACCCCACCCCTGTATCCATTGCCCTACAGGAGGGGTGATGAAAATACGGTACAGAGCAAAATTTGCCTCTTCTAGAACAGGTTGGCATGACCTTTCTCTTGTCTCTCAACTCCACCAAGATGGTGTCTAGAGCCTTGCCGAAAAGCATATCCCCTTTGAAAGAGGCCAAGGTTAGCCTCCACTTATGAACCATGTCTACCTGCCACTGACGCAGCCAGAGTAGGTGTCATGATGTCATGGAGGAGTTAAAAAATTTGCTCTTCTGATAAGTGACAGGATCTTTTTCTCTGATGATCCTTCCTTATTCTGATTTACTTTGGGTAATATTCCTGGTTTCATTAAAGCAGAATGCAGAAGGATGGGAATTTCTATTTCTTTCCTCTCCAATCTTCACATAGAAGCTAGGAAGCTTTTATTCTGTAGATTTCTATAAAGGTAAACGTCTCTTCACAATGAAGACAGTTTATTGTTATTTGCTGTGGTCACTTTTTCTTCTTTTGCTTTTGGAGAATTAAGTCATATTTAGGGTTAGAGCTAGTTGAATTAGTAATGAATTTAGGTGGTGCTGTCAGATCCATGTATCTGTCATTTTTTTCAATGGAAGAAGAAAGGGGGGGGGACTGATAAACAAATCCCTTTTGATATAACTTGAATATATTTAATCTTATATTGAATTTGTATAACCCACACATGATACAATGGAGGGAGAAAACCCAGATGGCCGGGTTTTCTGAACCTATCACCTCTGAGAGGCACAGCCAGGAGATGAGAAGACCAAAAAAATTCCACAGTGAGATGTGTCCTGGGAACCTCTGAAAAAGGTTGTTCTAAAAAGGGGGTATGGGAATTAATATGTTGGCTCTTTGTTTTACTAAATACACATCAAGATAAGGGGATGGGTTTTAAACTCCCTTATCTATCTCTGCATGCCTGAGAGACCTTAGACACTGCTTTTAATCCCTACAAGAATTGTCTCATCTCAATAAAGGATTCCTTTTGATACGTTTAGTTTTCGGAAGTTCATCCTAGTTGATTGAATGGGAAAAGTTCTGTAGCCTGACATAAAGCAGCATCTGCAACAGAGGCTAGCCCAGAGAGGAATTTTTTTAAAAAAAACTTCACTCTACCGAGGGGACCCTGCCAAAAAAAATGGAAAATGTCTGAATACACCAAGGCCCAAGGGGAGGCCAAATGCTGGGGAGAAACATTGACAGTTACCCAGCCAGACACTGACTCGGTGCACCCCATCAAAGATAGCGAAGCTGCCTACGAAACCTCCACAAATCCCTGGTGGTCTATAGGGGTAGGAAAGAGACAACTGGGATGGAAGAACTAGGGGAGTAATCCTCACCTGGGGTAATCGTAAACCCAGGTGGAAATTGGAGCTGGAGGCCCTATCAGATCAGGAAGAATGTGGGGAGCAGCCACCAGCCGATGACCGACTGAGATTGTAAATCACCTCGTGAGGGAAGTCCTGGAGAACCTCGAGGTGAGGGATGCACCAGGATGCCAACGCAGGAGAGCGAGGGAACCAGAAAATGAGAGAACCCAAGCCACCACCTCAGATCCAGCTGAGAATGATTGGCAGTGGGACAAGCCAAAGAACCAGCAGCCATACCAGGTACCCAACCCCTAACCGTCCCAGAACAGGGGATTAACCCTGGACAACCCAGAGACATACAACTGGAGTGGAAGGTCCCATCTCTTAATGGGGATCCCCAGAAACTGGGATTTTCCTGGCACAAGTACTCACCCACATGCAAGAATACAGGTGGAATTTCCCAATCCAGGGGTCCCGAGTAAGAGTCATCACTCTGCCCTTGAAGGGGCAGCAGCCAGATGGGTGGTGACACTCCACAATGTCAATGGCCCAGAATTAAGGAACTTGGACTGCTTCATGACGGTCCTATGCCACCACTTCAAAGACTCCCTTGCTGATAGAAAAGCCTGTGACCGCATCAGAGTTGTAAATAAGGCTGTCGCCCAGTAGCTGAATACACCGAGAAATTTCATGACCTGGCCAGCCAAGTTGACTGGCCAGAGGATATCCTAGTCTGTTGGTTCAAAGATGGACTCAATGACAACATATACGCTGACTGCCTGGCCCATAGGGCCCCAAATCTCCTGCATGAATGGTACATGATGACAGAGGAGGCGGAGATAGACATGACTTGTAATCGGTACTGCAGTGGCAAGTTTTGGAAGAGATCCCCACCCTAGGGGAAACGAGAAATTTTCAAACCTCAAACCACCATGACTCCAAGAATGTCTGGTTGCTTTAAGTGTGGAAAGGAGGGACACTGCACAGCAGAATACCATTCAAAAACCCCTGCCAGAAAGCCAGACCACCCATCGGGGGGAAACCTGGAACTTCCAGCCCTCTAGGAAAGGAGACTGGCTTGAGAAACCAAGTAGCTGTAGGATTCCGATCCCCCCCAACCCAGAGGAAGAATCCCCCACACTCTGATGGGACCTGAGCCAGTCTGAAAGCAATCTGGAAGATGACCCGTTGGTAAGCAACCCAATTGAACCAATCACTCTACCCCTAAGACTGTTTATCCCCAGCTGAGGGAAGGGGGAGGAAGTTGCAGCGTTGCTGGATTTGAGATGCACCCGATGCCTAATCAACCTCTCCCTTGCTGAGAAATTGGGAATCCAACTGGAAGAAATGGAAAATCCCATCGCTTTCTGCCAATTAGATGGAACTATAGCGGGGGGGGGGGGCAGCTAGGTTTACCACAGAACCATTGAAAATAAGACTAGGGAACCATAGTGAGATGTTCATGTTCATTGTAGCCCCAGGAATGGAAGAACCGCTAGTCCTAGGTTTCACATGGCTGTGGAAATGGAATCCAAAAATAAATTGGAGGAAAGGAACAGTACAATTCCAGAGAGATGTAGTATTTGCAAAAAGCTCAGAGGAAAGGATAAAGAAAGGGACAGAGAACAGAGAATCAGCCATCACCGGACAGCCGGCTGAACCCGTTAACATCCCCAATGAGTACCAGGATTTGGTCCAAGCATTTAGTGAGGAAGCTTGTGATGAACTCCCACCCCATCGTGCCACAGACTGCTCTATCGAAATCCTACCAGGGGCTAAACTCCCAAAACCACAAATGTACTGCATGTCTCCCAGCAAACTAAAAGAACTCAGAGCATTTATCAATAAAAATCTAAAAAGGGGCTTCATCGAACCCACCCGACCAAAAATAGCTGTCCCAGTATTATTCAGTGAAAAAATGATGGCTCCATGTGTGAATTACAAAAAATTAAATGCAATTAGCATAGAGAATATGTATCCACTCCCCCTCTTGAAGAACATGTTAGTGGAACTATATGAAATGACAGATACACAGATCTGACAGGTGCAAAGCTGGTGAATTTTAATCCTCCTCTTTCTCCTCTTCTTCTTCCTCCTCATCAACCAAGAAATCTCACTTTCTCCAATTATGGGATCATTATAGGTTAAAGAAATGGCCCTGTCATTTGTACAGCAAGAAAATATATAGTATCAAGTAAATCCTAAAAAAAGAGACATGAGTTTTCTCCACCGTATGCAGATAATTGCCATTCTATTAGCCAACCAATAATTTGTTCAACTTAATGTCCAACTAGTATGATTTGATTGCTTATTGTACCCTATTATTAAATGTTGTACCTTATGATTCTTGACTCTTGGCGGATGTATCTTTTCTTTTATGTACACCGAGAGCATTTGCATCAAGACAATCACACTTGGCCAATAAAGAATTCTATTCTATTCTATTAAAAAAAAACTTTAACAATAAGAATACCAAAATTAACCAGTTCTCAAAGAAAATAAGATTTCCAATTCCATCCATAAGAATGCATTGAAAACACAAATAAAAAAATCCACAAATAAGAATTGTTTTATTATTCCAAATTAATCTAAAAGCCAGTGCCAGCACTAAATTAGAATCCAGGAGACTGAGTTCTAATCCCACTTTAGTATGAAGCCATCTGGTTGAACTTGGGTAGTCACTCTTTCTCACTCCTAGGAAGAAGGCTAATGTAAGCAACTTTTGAAAATCTTGCCATGAAAGTTGCAAGAAATTAATCCTGGCACTCACCAGAAATCAAGACTATCTCAAAGGCATCAAAATTAAATTAAATTTGTTTAAGTAATTTTCAACAGATACTTTCATAAAATAGTGACTATGTTCTGAAGGTGAAGAAAAGATTAGTTTTTAACTAATCCTCACATCCAATGACACAATCATTCACACATCAGCAATTAGGATGACATTATGGGTATTTATCATGGACACAAAGAAGCAGTTGTGTGGGACAAATGTGGGGCTATCCTTGCTAATCATGCAGCATACAAAGCAAAAATTCAAAGAACAGTTTAGATTTAGTGATCAAAGAATTGCTTTGGTTTACTTTTGGATTGTTTTGAAACAGAAAAAATTATGAGACTTCGTTTCTACAGATTAGAAATGTGTCACGCATTCATTGAAAAGCTGTTCTTTCATGTCATGTCATGTCATGTCATGTCATGTCATTCATTCATTCATCAATTCATTCATTCATTTTCTCTCTCTCTCTCTTTCTCCCTGCCTCCCCCCTCTCTTTCCTAACAATTGTGAAATAACAAAAATATTTCTAAAGGTAAGGGTGGGAGGAGAACAAAGCAGCTTTTAGCAGCTATCATCTAGTTTTTAGGCTTCGATTTTTTTAAAATATATGTTGCATTTTACGTTAACCTGGAGCTAGTCTTCCTGAAAGCCAGTCCCTAAAAGCACAGCATGTGTGGCTCCTAATGCACAGGACATGTGATTAGCATCCTGAGAAAAGCACAGAATTACTGACTATACTGGATAATTAGATTGGTGGCACTCTTCCCTGACTGGGTTGTCAGATTAAATCCTGCTGTTTTTCTTCAGATAACTGTCATGTTCTACAATAACAAACAGAAACTGACAGAGGGTTTTTCTTTTTAATGTTCAAAGTATGCCTTTTCTTCTTTCAGTGAGCCGAAATGTTCACAATATTTATTGATTCATTCAAAACATTATGTTCTTTGATTAGTGCACCCCTGGCAAGATAAACCTGATCAAAAAGATTTATTGGGAAATGATAAATGGAAACCACATACATATCTTTATGTACTTGTCTACATTTCTCATTTTATCAGGAAAGAATCCTATGCAATTATAGAAGAATATGAAGAGAGAGGTTTTGCTTACAAAATAAATACCATCTAACAATACGATTATTCTTTCTTATCAGTTCTTTCATATATATATTTAAAATTCACATAGTAAATAATTGTATGCTTTCAAATAGTGATACCCTTCATAAATTTGTGAAACTTTCTTCTTTCTTTCTTTATTATTTCCTTCTCTATAAAACTGGAATGATCCTACAGTATGTTCAGCATCAGTCAAAGATAGTTCACAGTGAAGGAAAGTATAAGATAGTACTGTAATGGTATCTGTCCTTCCAGGAGTACCCAATCTTTTTAAACTTGTACAAGAAGAACCCACAGTGCTTTCTTTTAATATAAAAGAAAGAGTTCCGGCCAATTATTTCATGTTCCTATTAAGGTAAATGGCAATGGATGTGCTACTGAATAGAATGGGACAACTTGCTGCAGCCAACCCGCTGTGGCCAACTCACTACGGCCAATTCACCATGAGCAACTTGCCACAGGACAACTTGCCACAGGACAACTCACCATGGCCAACTTGCTGTGGGACAATTCAATGAATCAATTTAATTATTTAAAATAATTTAAAATAATTTTTGTCATTTACATTTTGTCCCTCCTTTGGCATACTTATGTTTAAAAATAACATACTATTATCTTAGTATAATATATGCTTTGCAACTTTATATTGGCTACTATAAACTGTCTCTCTTGAAGTAGCCTTTATAGTAAAACTCATATTTCTTCAATATTAACATAACTCCTGTCCTGTGGTGAGTTATCCCACAGCAAGTTGGTCATGGAGAGTTGTCCTGTGGTGGGTTATCCCACAGCAAGTTGGTCATGGAGAGTTGTCCCATGGCAAGTTGGCCACGCAAGCTGACCATGGTAGGTTGGCTGAAGTGAGTTGGCCAGGATGGGTGGGCTGTGGTGAGTTGACCTAGACGTTTTTTCATGTCTGTTTTGCTGTAACAATTTATTTCAAATAAATAAAATGTTACTTTCCCTAATTGATTGGTCATCTGGTAGTTGTTGATTCTTAGCAACTAACATAGGTAGATTTTCTTATGGCATTTCACTGGTCTTGTTGCTAAATCTCACATAATGGCACTGGATTTTGGTAATTATGCCCCAAGGTGCAGCACAATGTGACCATAAAAGTTATTTGAAAACAGCACTTGCTCTGCTTCAACTGAACCGCAAACAAACAAGTTAATATCTGCAAGCAATAGTTGGCTGGATGAAAACATATTGGCTGAATCTCAATATTCATTCATTCATTCATTCATTCATTCATTCAATATGGCTGCCTAGTTGCCAAGCAATATAAATTAGTCCCATTGATGTTATTATTTTCCAGTATTATGAGCTCACATTTTTTAAATGGAGTTATATTCCCTTACAAGAAATACTTGTAGTTTCATCTTTGTCACTGGAAGTCCAGGTAGTCGGGTAAACAAAACTGCTAATTATCATGTTTAAATGTACAATGAATTCAATCTTTCCTAATCTTAATGTAATATATGTTTTTTAACCTTATACTGGCTACTGTCTTAAGGTAGCCCTTATAGCAGTGGTTCCCAAACTTTTTCAGTCCACCGCCCCCTTGGTGATACAAACTCATCCTCAATGCCCCTCACCCAGGGGCGGGATTCAAATTTCTGTGGGCATGGCATAATTTGAGGGTGTGGTTTGCTGGTAATGTGATTGGGTAGGTGTGGCTTGCTGGTCACGTGACTGGGTGAGTGTGGTTTGGTGACTGGCAAACCAAATACAAGTGGTCCTCACTTAATGGCTGATTACTTAGCAAGTGTTCTAATTTATGACTGGCCTCCCCAGAACTACTTGACCTGTTTTTGGAGTTTTGACAGCCATGTACACACATACACATACTTCCTTCCAATCCTGCTGGAGCACGTCATTGGACTAGAATCGGCAAAGCATCTCTGATTAGATTCTAGTAGTGAATAAAATCTAATCAGAGATGGTTTGCCGATTCTTGTTGATTTGTTTTATTTGTATTTCTTTATTTTATGTTGCTGAATTGCATTGACACATGTGCCCCTTCTTGTGCACAACCCAGAAGCTTTTGCAATTCTTTGCAGCAAAAATTACCGACCTCTGGCTTTGCTCTACTTTTCAAACGTGCCAGCACTGCCGCGTTCTAGGTGCCAGCCCCGCAGGTCCACCCCATTGAGCCCGCTGCACTGGAGCCCAAGCAATTCCGAGCAGAGCGGTGCACCAAATCAATGGGGTGAGCCTGGGCGAGAGAAAGAGAGAGAGAGAAAAGAGAGAAAGAGAGAAGGAAGAAAAGAGAAAAGGGAAAGAAAGAAAAAGGGACAAAAAAGGGGGGCATGGAGGGATGGAGGGGGAAGGGGGAGAGAGGGAGAGAGAGAGAGAGAGAGAGAGAGAGAGAGAGAGAGAGAGAGAGAGATATGATGCATCAGATTGAAATGAAGCCTAGTTTAGAGGCCCTTTTCCACATTGAAACATCTTTGGCTTCTATTAATAAAAGGTTTTGTGGACGAAACATAGCCAAGAAGCTCTCACATTTTGTTGAGGCTTTAAACAGGATCCATTGGACCAGACCTCCACCCTAAAAAATTACTTTTCCCCAATGTATTACAGTGCCAATTCTGAAGAAGGCAAAACCAAAATGTACTGGTAAATTACAAGGAGAACACACACACAAACACACACACACACTCCCTTCTAACCCTGCTGGAGCAGATGATTGGACTAGAATATATATTTCATTATCTTCCTCCTCCCTCCCTTTTTCTTTATTTCTTTTCCTTTCTGTCCCCTCCTTCCATCCCCCCTCTTTCTTTGTCCCTTTTTCTTTCTTTGTCCCTTTTTCTTTCTTTGTCCCTTTTTCTTTCTTTCCCTTTTCTCTTTCTCTTCATCCTTCTCTCTTTCTCCCTCTCTCTTTCCCTCTCTCAGGCTCACCCCATTGACTTCGTGCACCGCTCCATTCAGACTTGCTTGGGCAGGTGCCTCTGGAGCAAGGGGCTCAATGGGGTGGAACACGGCGGCGGCGGGATGTTTGAAAAGGAGAGCAAAGCCATTCTGGCTTTGCTCTCCTATTCCCAATGCTGCGTTCGGGGCGCTGCCCTGCCACCCCAAACACGGTGGTGGGATGTTTGAAAAAGAGAGCAAAGCCAGTCTGGCTTTGCTCTCCTTTCCCAAAACTGTGTTTGGGGCGATGCCCCGACGCCCCAAACACGGCGGTGGCGGGATATTTGAAAAGGAAAGCAAAGCCACTCTGGCTTTGCTCTCCTTTCCCAACGCTGCGTTCTCTTTTCCCAACGCTGCATTCACGGCGGAGCTTCTTGCACCAGAGTGTGCAAGTCAATGCGGGGCCTTGCCTTGAATGCGGCAGCGGGATTTTTTCTCACCCCTGAATTGTGCCCTTCCACTCACCTACAGCACCCCACTGCCAGCTCTTAGTGCCCCCCCTGCCAGCCTCCTTGCCTCTCAGCGCCCCCTGAGGCATCCCATTGCCCCCCGGGGGTAGTACTGCCCACTTTGGGAACCACTGCCTTATAGTAAAGCTCATGTAGAATATGCAATTATTATTATTATTATTATTATTGAAAAAAAGTTTTATTGACTTTACAACAAACAAAAACACATAAAACATAAAACATAAAAGCATCATCCTCCTTCATAGATTTACAAACAGTGTATCAGTTGGTTTACCACTTTTTTTGTGCATCCATTTCATCGTCACCATTATAGTTATATTATATAATAACTCATATTATCAATCAACAATTATATAACCTGATATCATTACTAAACAATCATTTGACTATAATTTTGTTAATTCATACTTTAACGAGATAACTATAATTTACTTAATTTATTTTACAACAAATCATAAAATCATACCAAGTCTATCTTAATAAAATTTTATAAAAATAGTATCAAAGAAAAAGAAAAAAAAGGAAGTATATATTCATTATATCCTAAGTTTCTAAATATTCTGTTATTATATTTTATTATCTAGCCATTGATAGAAAAGATCCCAAACTTCATAAAACTGTTTATCTTCTTGTTCTCTAATTTCAAATGTCAATCTACTCATTTTAGCACATTCCAATATTTTCTTAATAGTTTCTTCCTCTGATGGTATTTTCTCACTCTTCCAATTTTTAGCAAATACAATCCTAGCCGCTGTTAATACATTTACAATCAAATACTTCAAATTTTTATTATATGTATAGGTAAAATTCCCAATAAAAAAATGTCTGGTTTCAAATCTATATGTTTCTTTGTCATTTTTTCCAACCATATGCAAATTCTAGTCCAATATTTTCTAGCGTCCTCACAAGTCTACCACATATGGTAATATGAGCCAGGTATCTGATGACATTTCCAGCACTTTTCAGATTTATTCTTGAACATTCTTGCTATTCTTGTCAGGGGGAAATGCCACCTGTAAAACATCTTATACAAATTTTCTTTATAAGCTGTTGATTTTATAATTTTGAGAGTACAATTTTTCTCTAAATCAATCCCATATCCAAAATTCTTCCCCCAAGCAATCATCGTTTCTTTAACTTGTTCCTCCTCTAGTTTAATTTCCAGCAAATAACTATATAGTTTTTTGATCACTTTTTCATCAGTACCTGTCAAAATCCTATCTAAGTCAGTCAATTTATCATTAAATCCCTCTGTTTTAGAATCTTTAACATACCTTGAGTGTATTTGCGCATATGAAAACCAATTCATCCTTATACCTTGTTCTTCTAGATTTTGCATCGTTTTAAGTTCACTCTTTTCATCCAGTATTTCCCCATATCTAACTGTTTGTTCCTTCTTATATGTTATAGGATAAGAAAAAGCTTCAATAGTTGATAACCAGACTGGGATTTTCGAATAACATTGTCTCTTAATTTTCTCCCAATTCAACCATAAAGACTCCCGTATATAATGCCTTCTAAAATAGCCCTGCGATTTAGTTCCCTTATACCACAGAAAAGCATGCCATCCCAGTAATAAATCATGTCCTTCTAGTGTCAACAATCTAGTCTTTCTTAATGTTATCCATTCTTTAGCCCACATTAAATTTGCAGCTTGGTAGTACAACTCCCAATTAGGAAGGCCAAATCCTCCTCTAGTTCTAGCATCTTGAAAAAGTTTTAATTTTATTCTTGCTTTCTTACCTTGCCATATATACTTCAACACAATTTTATTTAGTTCTTCAAAATAGTCTTTTCCGAGCCTAATTGGTATTGTTTGGAACAAATATAAAATTCTGGGTAAAATATTCATCTTGATTGTTGAAATTCTACCTATCAATGACAATTGTAGGTTTTCCCATTTCTTCAGATCAGATGTTACCTGTTGTTTAAGTTTAATATAGTTATTCTCTTTCAATGTAATACATCTTGACATCATATGCATTGACTGGAAAAAAAAAATCCAAGCGTATATGTTCAGGAGAAGAAGTTGTACTGTACTTTCACAAATCTTTTTAATCCCATCTCTCTGCTGGTTAGAGTAGATTGTATACACTCTGTCCTGTCCTTTCCAGGGATCTTTTTTCTTTAGTTTACTTTATTGTCATTACACCTTGTACAAGGGCACCTAGATATATATATATATATATACACTCTTCTTAACAGTTATAGGAACTGGGCATGGCTAGTCTAGTGAAGAGAAGGACCAGGGGAGACATGATAGCAGTCTTCCAATATTTGAGGGGCTGTCACAGAGAGGAAGGGGTCAAACTATTTTCTGAAGCACCTGTAGGCCAGACAAGGAATAATGGATGAAAACTGAACAAGGAGAGATTTAACCTGGAGCTAAGGAGAAACTTTCTGACAGTGAGAATCAACCAATGGAACAGCTTGCCCTTGGAAGTTGTGAGAGCGTCATCACTTGAGACTTTCAAGAAGAGATTGGACTGCCATTTGTCGGAAATGGTATATGGTCTCCTGCTTGGGCAGGGAGGTGGACTAGTTGACCTATAAGGTCCCTTCCAACTCTGATTATTTGTTATCTCCCACATACATTTGTAGACAATTTTATATGATTCATTTATGAAGAAAAAGTGCACATATCAGCACAGATACAAATATATAATTTCTTTATTCTACAGAAGAAAATCCAGAGAGGTCTTATTCTATGTTGGCTACAATATTATGTTTGCTTTTGCTTTTGTTGTTTTGCAGAACACCCTTAATCTTTTGAAGACATAAAGGTATCTGTATAAATAAATCATTAAATATATACAAACTGTGAAATCTTAGTGAAACATATGGTATACCTTCACTGAAAATAACACTATGATCATCATTATAGTCAGAGATGAACAAGTATGTATCAAACAATCAAATGAGGTTTATAGATATAAAAGACTAGCAACTCTTCACTGTTATCAATTATATTCATTTCTTCCTTCAATTGTAAAAGGACACTCTCAATAATTAACTATTATATTCATTAAAATGTATTTTTCATTGACAAAAATTTAAAAATCTCACAAACAAGTGAATTTATAAGTTTATTGGACTTTCTGACAGTTCAAATTTTAGTGCAGTGATAGTCTAAATACCTATCAGGGTACTTTTCACTGTCCCTGGTTTAGCTTATTTCAAAATTGGCCTTTTATTTAGCATGCAGTGATATTTAAGTACACATATATATTTATCTAAAACTACTGAAAATTAAGAAAATATCATTTTTCTAAATCTCAGTTGACTATAATGTGGGATGTAAAATCTGAACAAGATTTTCTTTGTCTGAGTTATAGTTGAAAAATATTATAAAATTGTACTATAAGGTTATCAAAAGGTTGATAAAAGTTATCAAAATAGAGGACTAAGTTATGCAGGAACTTACTACTCTTGGTGCCAGAGAATAACATTATTAAGGAAGTTATAATAAATGGTGGGAATATGGATTCTGTAATGTGCATTTCTAGATAAATAATGAGCTATTTAATTAATTAATCAGGAAGTTTTTTTCAAGTTTTTCTACCACATAGAATAGAATAGAATAGAATAGAACAGAACAGAATAGAATTCTTTATTGGCCAACTGTTTGGACACACAAGGAATTTGTCTGGTGCATATGCTTCTCAGTGTATATAAAAAGAAAAAAATACATTCATCAAGAATCATAAGATGTAACACTTAGTGAAATAGATTACTAAATAAGCAGTGAAATCATACTAGGAAACAAAACAATATAAATTGTAGAGAAATAAACAACAAGATTATAGTCATGGGAAGAGTGGAAGGAGATAGGTAATAGGAAGAATGAGAAGAAAAATAGTAATATAGTCTTAGTAAATAGTTTAATAGTATAGTGGGAATTCGTTGTTTAGCGGAGTGATGGCATTGGGGGGGAAACTAGAATGAAAGAATTAATTAATTAATTCTGTGTTGTAAGAAAACTTGGAAAATTCTTCCTTTAAATATTTAACTATTGGAATAACCTTTTATTAGAAAAAGGAGAGTTTTAAGAATAATGTTGATGAACATTCACCGCATTAACTAAAATAAAATAACATAAAAGAGATCCAGAACATTCACTGCATTAAATAAAATATGTAAGTCAGCCTAAGCCAAACTTTTGTATGAAAGAGAATCAGTTTGATGTAGTGGTTAAATTGCTGGCCTAGAAACAGAGACTGTTTCAGTGACTTCTGGACCTCTTTTAAGCCTGGGAGCTGGGTGAATAGGAAATCATCTGTCAGCCCAACCTGCCTTGTAGGGTTATTGTTGTGTGGAGCTGGCGTTGTGATGATACGGCCTGCAATCTTGGAGGTCTGAGATCGCTGCCGATATCTTTGCTCCTGGACGGTCCTATCGGATCTAAACCGTCCCAAAGAGACGGTGAAAGTGAAGAGTGCATCCTGTCGATCCCAGGGATACTGCAAAGTCCCTGGTAGATCCAGGAGAAACTCTTCTTGCCAACGGCAAAGAGGCAGCCATTAAAGCTGCTGAAGTTGGGACAGCTCCAAAACAAAAGAGAACAGAAAGAGAGAGCGTGCTGGTTTGGTGAGAATTTTTTTCTTTATTCTAAGATCTGAAAGGACATCCTAAGGAAAAGAAAGAATTTGTAAAAGTTTTGACAGAAGTGATTTTAAACAGGAATGTCAAATTAATGTTTTTTTCTCATTGCTGGATTTTCTATACATGATCTTATATTTTGAAACTGGACTTGTTTTTTCTTTTCCATCTATTTTTTTTCTTTTTCTTTTCTCCTGTTCGACTTCGTAAAATTTTAGGCTAGAGACTCCCTTTTAGTTATTTCTTTTTTTAAAATATCTTTTTCTTTTTTTATTAATTCTTATTATATTTTGCTTGGAAAAGGAAGGGGAAAGTGAAAGCAAAGAAACTTTGTAACACTGCCAACTAGAGGCTTGGAAATATTCTATGTCTCCTGTGACCAGACAAAGCTGAGAAAGAATGAACTGAGACTTTTTTTCAAGGACATTGCTATTTGATAAGATAGAGGGAAGAGCATGGGAGAGTATTATTGCAGGTGCTCTTCTGGGTTTCTATCAACAGCTGGAGTCTGGTGTTGAAACTTAGGGGGGAAAAAAGGTGATAAGATTTGGAGAAGAGAGTTATAATAAGAGCCTTGGATAATTAAACAAAGTGCCATGTGCTCTTTTTACTTTTTCTAAGTTGTGCTATCCCTCCTCACCAGCTTTATTTTATCTCATTTTATCTTTTTTTTTTTTTTGCAATAGCTATTTGGATCTTTGGCTTTGTTGGAGCTTGTCTTTGTTTTTCTTTTTTTTCTTTGGAAGTCCAATCTCTACGCTTGCCTTTTATTTTAAAGGGAAAGCTTTAGTATTAATGTTTTCTTTTTTTCAAGGGAATAGCCTTTTTTTCTCCTTTCCTGGTATTTTTGTTTTTTCATCTATCTTTCTGGTTTATTTTTATGCACTCTTTTCTATTTGAGACCTCTCAACTGGATTAAGGTGTTGAAGAACCCGAATAATTTTTCCTTTTCCTTTTTTTTCCCCCAAGCCTTTTTCTTCATCTATCTACTGATTGGATTAAGGTATACAAGAACCTGAAGAAATTTTGTCCTCCCTTTTTTTTTAATCATTACTATTTGGCTTCTTTTTTCTAGTATTTTTATTTCGAACTACAATTGGTTATTTCACAATTGGATTAAGGTTTAGAAGAACCTGAAGATTTTGAATTGCTTAAAATGAGTAGGAAACTTACAGCTCCTGGTTCTTCAACTTCTACTTCTTCCTCTCCCACCATCTGGAGGACATCATTCAATACAGACAATGTTAAAGCAAGAAAAAGAACAAGAAAAAGTGACTGCAGATGATTATGCAAGGAATTCAAAATATTCAAGCAAGATCAGAGAATATTGAAAAGAGAATAGAGAACATTGAACAAAGAACAGAGAACATTGAACAAAGAACAGAGAACATTGAACAAAGAACTGGGAAAACCGATGAAAAAGTGGAGAACATCCAACAAATGATATTGAAGTGTTCTGTCTCACCTGTGACCACAAGGTGAGAGTCCAAATTTCCAAAGGAATATAAATAAACAGACAGGACCAGGAACGACAGAGTTAAATTACTTTGACTGGAGAAGTCTTCCAGAAGCTGCCTGCAAAGTCCGATAACAAGACAAGACCATAAATCAAAAGGCAAACGCCGCACAGAGAATTTGTCAAAGCTTCTATTCCGAATAAACAAATTGTCCTGAATGAGGATTCAGAGCTAACACACCCTCTTTTATTTCCTGAGGGACGTGTCAGTCTCTCAAGTCAGTCCCTGATTTGACATTTCCTTTTATGTTGCATTTCACGCTTCTGCCTGCGTCTTTGCCTTGCATCAAACCAGCATTCCTCGGCTTGATCCTCAGCCAAGGACTCCGTCACTCTCTCCTGATTATCTGCCGACACCTGAGGCACAACCAGGGAGGAAGGGGAGGAAGACGATTCCGAATCTTCCAGCAAAGCAGGCTCAAAACTCAAGGCCAAATCCTCCTCTTCCTCATTACTTGAGCCTGGTCATCTAACAGAGCAGGCTCAAGCCTCCAAGTCACAACACTGAAGTATGATGAGAGATTCCAAAAAATTGAAGAAGATAAACAAAGAGACAAGAAGATTGGAGATACTGATAATAGATTAACGGTAGTTGAACAAGATAACAGTGGTATGTTGAGATGGGAGATGGATAGATCAGAATTCTATCTTAGATTCCAAAACAGAGGAAGAAAAAGGACAAAATCTAGCTGAGATAATGATAGAAATATTGGCTGAAGCTTTGGAAATAACTGAAGAGAAGATGATGGATGGAATAGATGAGGTTTATCGAGTTTTCACAAGATATGCAATGAGAAATAGCTTACCAAGAGAAGTTCACATTAGATTTACAAAGAAAGCCATTAAAACACAAATATTCCAAGTGGCAAAAGAGAAAACATTGAAATATAAAGACAAGGAGATTGTGCTCTTGAAACAAATACCCAGAAGAGTGAGAGAGATGAGAAGAGAATACCGATTCCTGACTAAAATGCTACTTAAAAAGGGGTGAATTATAGATGGCTGATTCCAGAAGGTTTAATATTCACATGGCAAGAACAGAGACATAGAATTGACTCAATTGAGAAAGCGGAATTATTTTATACAGAATTTTTTGGAGGGAAAGAGGAAGAGGCAGAAAAAGAAATCTCACTAATTGAATTCCAAGAGGACTGCCAAATGGTGATTGAAAAGGAAGGTGCAGTAGATGGAAAGGCGGAAGCCAAAGAACAATGTGAACTAAGATCTACGAGAGCTGCTAAACCTAACTACAAAATATAACTATGGAAGGGTCCCAAATAATTATTGACATGATCGTTAGATAGGTGAAATGCATAATAGAGAACAATTTTTGAACCAAGGTGCCTCAAATGGGATAACTTACAGAATATATTCATAATCCCAGAACCCATAACTCCTGAAGCAATGAAACTTGGGGAAGTTATGGCTGCTTCAGTGCTACTAGCTAACTCCTGCAATAGTCACTTGAACTTCATTTTCAATGCTCTATGACATTTTTCCAGTCAGTCATGCAATCCTTTACTCCCTCCTCATCCAGCAGCAAGGAGAGTATTCATTCTATACCTCTAAAGAAGCAACAATGTTAAGATACATGAAGAAAAATCTTGATATATTTATTATTTTATATATTCCTCTGTGGCACACAAACCAGAGTGGTATTTAGCAGGTTCTGACCAGTTTTGGAGAACTGGTAGTGGAAATTGTGAGCAGTTCGGAGAACTGGCAAATACCCGCTCTGATTGGTCCCACCTCCTTCTGCCTCCTGAATCCCAGCTGATGAGCTGGGTCTTCTTTTGTTGCCCTGCACAGGAGAATGGAGCTGGAAAGCAGCTGAGTGGGGTGGGGAAGGAATGGAGATTTTGCAGTATCCTTCCCCTGCCACGCCCACCAAGCCATGCCCACAGAACCGATAGTAAAAATTTTTGAATCCCACCACTGACACAAACATGTATAGCATGTATTTATATCCCATTTTTTTCAGGAACTCAGGGCACCTACAGAGTGCTCCATCCTCCTATATTTCACGACCATAACCCTGTGACCTCTAAACCACTAAAAGCTGCTGGGGCTTAGAAAAAAAAAGCCTATAGGAAATAGATCTCTCTTGTGTCAGTCATTATCCACTATGCATTAGTATTTTCTCATTGTTTCATTTTTCAACTGCTCCCTACTCTGAACATGAGCATAGACTCCTCTGTTGGAGGAGAAAAAGGATGTGTGTATTATCTGCAAAAATTGTTTTGTTTTATTTTTTGTAAATGTTTTGAGTGAGTTTTTGGAGATATTTCCATTTAATTTTATACATTAAAATGAATAAGTCAATGGAAATGATTCTATATACTTACAGTATTGATCAAGCATATTTTGATAAGTGTGTGTATATTATATGCAAAAATGGCTTTGTTATTATTCACTGATATAGTAATTAAATTATTGGATTCCTCTAAAACTTTTTGATATGACTAAATATATTTGTTCATGACATAATATACATTATTATCACATAAGGATAAAGTAGTACATTTGGACTCTCCACCATTGTAAGTCTTTAGACTGTGCGGTCTTTGCATAAGGAGGAAAACATATCCACTTTAGATTTACTTTTTTTAAAGTTCTCAAATTTCATAAAAAATGACTGTTTAACTCCTTGGAGGTCTACTTCAGAAAAAAATAGAATATCAAGTAAAATAGTCTTGCTCTTCACTGATATATTTCTTGTGGCTTCTACATTGCATATCTATGGCTCTTTATTCCAAGCATAGATTGGAATTTTTTTAAAAAAAACAGCAATTAATTTCATTAAAAAATAGGCAACTTTTACAATAGTAACTTACAACATTTAAACATATATAGAAGTTGTTTGATAGGAGGAAAAAGAGTACTTATAATAGACAAAGAGCAATAGACTAATAGAACCATCTTCAGAAGTCTGAAGATACATCATCAATTGTCATCTACCAAAGATACCCAAGACATAAAGCTGATGCTGAAATCATAATTATCAATTCACAAATAAAATAAATTGCATACATGTGCATAATACAAAATTTCATGCTACTCAGTATCACTTGCTTCATTGGCTCCCTCCCTCTAGATGGTACAGTTTAGTGGATGACAGTTGCAATTCAATAACACAAAGATTCCTACCTCTATCCTATTAATTTCAGTTAGAACTGATGGACAGCCAGTACTCATTAACTTAATCACACTTATGTATATTCCTATACAACCTTAATTTTAATCCTTTTTCATTCTCCATTTTCCAGTCCTATTATGTAGATACACAGATTTAATTAATATTGAAAATATGTAACATGAGTTTTTCAGGTGAAGAAACTATGGAACTTCTAAACTGAATCAATATCCCATGTTTTTGCCTCGAGAAACCTAGCTTGATTTGCATCATTGTTCCATCCTCCAACCCAACAGCCAATTTCCATAAGTTTCCTCAGAAAAAATTAAATAGAGGAGTATTTTATTTCGGTGAAAATGTTAAGGAATAGAACAGTACAAAATAAGATCCTTGTTTAGAAAACATTGCCAGCAAAGAAAACATATTAAAAAGTATCAAATTTCAAAGGCAATGGTTTTCTCAAATATTTTGATGAGATATCATCTTGGTAGCCTTGGTGTAGCAGTTGCTTGTTCTAGAAAATTATGTTCATTTTACACAAAGGAAATTACACCACCAAACCATACATTAATTAGGCTGCAGAAGGTATACAATGGTTATTTTAAACAAAGTCAATTAATAAATCAGGATGTTTTAAAATGTGTTACAGTGGTCTATAGTATATGAATGGTCTAATAATACAATCTCTGATGAATCAAACTTAAGTAGAGTTTAGCATAAAACTCCAGTCTTCACAAATGAGATTTCTTGTATGTGTGAACTCTTCAATTCCACTAAACACTCAGTCAAAAATTACGATCTGGTTTTGGACATGCTGCACAAACAAATAAGGAAACATCTATTACATTAACAAGGGCTTCAGACTAAAAATACATAAATCTAATTCTTATTTAATATCATATACATGGTAAGATGAATTGAGACATTCATAACTGTTACTGAAATCCCTTATATCTTAATCTTATATGTGCAAAGGGTACAAACAGAAAAGAATCCTTCGTTCTTAATTAGTGTGCATTTGATTAGTAACAAAAATATTTGTTACTAATCAAATGCACGCTATTAAAAACATTACATGGGATAATGCATAATATCTAATTTTCCTTTTTTGATTGTGATCCCAATATCACACAATGAAATATCATTTGAACTGGGTCATTTAAAAGAAAATAGTAATGGATTCCACCAGACAATGGATTCATGATAGCAAATTTCTAAGAAAGGATAAACACCAGGCAATTTAAATCTTTACTGTTATATGCAAACAAACATTTTCTATATTACAAGGGATGAGCTCCAGGCACGCAAATATGTAAAGCATGTTATCAAACATAGAACATTCTCAATAGTTGTTGACTTTTGGGTACTTATCCTAAATATGTTTTCAACTGGGCCACCTTGTTACAGCTAAAAGCATTACATATTTCCAGCAACTATTTGCACAGGCTATCCATGAAATAAAAAAGTCTTCCTTAAGATCTGAAGTCTTGGGACCAATTACTCTCATATCCAACCTAGATGTTTCTCACAAAACATACAGTTCTTTTGTCTATGGAGATTCTCAATCATCCAGGTCATGGTTGTCCCAAATATGCTTTTTCAAGAGGCAATTGGACCAGAAAGTACCTTACGGATGCAGTTCTTCTCTTATTGTCCAATATTTATAGTTCATATTTAACACATTAATGAAGGACAAAAAATCTGGATTCGCTCAAGAAACTTTGACACTAATGTATTGCATTTTTGTTTTTTGCAAGATAAAATTTAGATGCACAAAAGGAGGACATAACATTTACAAATGCATAAAGACTGATGATGACCAAGAAATAAACAAATCAGTAGAGAAGAAAAATATATATATATATAAATGAATAAGGCAAAATCATTAGACATTTTGATTCTGAAAAGAATGACAAAAATAATCTGAATTTTTGCTATCAGCTAATATCAAATTATATTAAAGTAAAGCAGTACAATCAAGCAATGTTCACACATTAATCTTACCTTAGCCATCTGAGCTTGCACACCATTTGCTTTAAGAGATGCTACGGCTTTCTGTGCAGCTGCTGGACTATCAAAATCTACAAAACCGTAACCTTTTGAGAGGAGGGGGGGGAAAGTAGCATTAATTATAATATGAATAAAGAATAAAGTAGTTTACCAAATCTTCCCTATCAACAATGTAACATTGTCAAATTTAATACCAATTGTTACTTCAAGATTTTGGATGAGTTTCAACACACCCAGCTGAAATGTTAAGTAAGACATGACCTGTTTTATATTAAGCCAAACCAGTGAATGAATCAGCAAAATTTTATTGTCTGCTCTGACAATGATTTTCTGGAGTCTTCAGCAAACGACTCACTTTCCCTGGCATTTAATCCTTGTAATTGGAGATGCCAAAAATAAACCTGGGATCTTTAAAAATCAATGGTCATTTCCAGAATAGCTTATTATCTATCCAGAATAGGTTACTTAATTAATCTGATTGTGGGATTACAATGATGACTCTACAAACAAAGCAATTCATTCATTTTTAAGCTATAGAAAATGGTACTTTTGTTAAACATTTTCAAAGGTTTCTAAAAGAATGATGCAATAGATAATTATTGCACTGAACTGAATTTTGGAATCTTCCCTTCATATCAGATATATGAATACTTTTTGGAATATATGCAATGTATTCATTGGAGAAAGGATATAACTTCATCTTTTGTAATGATTATGCAATCTAAAGAGCTTGCATCCACCTCAAAAGCTATAATAGTTATTTAGGACTAGAGTGCTAATAGCTTTAGGCATACATCTCCATTTACCAGATCAATATGCAACCACCGAAGGCAATCACAAATATGCTGCAGCATTTAATGCACTTTAAACTTACTAATATCTCATGCATGTATTAAAAGAAGAAAAAAAATAAATGAATCTAATATTCAAATTAATTCCATATATCACAAATATATAAATCCTGTTTTAAGAAATTGCTGATGATATAATGAAGTTTATGATTTTTATGCTAAGGTTCCTGTAAATAACTTGTTTCTCATATTTAACTCAATGGTAACTGCTTCAAAATAGAAAATTCTGTAAGAGTTACATTCTAAACATGCATATTAAGTGTGTAAATAAATCCATTTACAGAGCATTTATAAACTATTGAGACCCCCTTCACTTTTGTCAATTTTTTTATGCTGCAGCCTGATACTACAGTTGTTAAAATCTTTTTTTCCCCTCATTAATCTACACTCATAATGACAAAGTGAAAACAGAATTCTAGAAATGCCAGTAAATGTATTAAAAAGAAAAACTGAAATATCACATTGTATTCAGACTCTTTGCAACAACACTTGAAATTTAGTTCAAGTTCCTCCCATTTCTCTTGACTGTTGCTGACATGTTTCTACACCTTGAATGGAGTAAATTAAACTAAGTTGACATGTTTTGAAAAAACACACATCTCTTTATAAAAGGTCTCACAGCTGACAATGCATACTGTAGCACAGGGGTCCCCAACCACCGGGCCGCGGACTGGTCCCGGTCCGTGGAACATTTCCTACTGGGGCGCTGGTTTGCTGGGCACCGCCATCTTGTTTGATGAGAAAGTGCTTCCGGGTAAGCTTTTCCAGTTGGAAAGCGGTGTTTGGGTCCTGAAGGAATCCTTGCACTTTAGTTTCATTGAAGGGGGGGTCTTCGAACGAAACTAAGGCGCGAGGATTCTTTCAGCACCCAAGGCAAGGCGAGCCGAACGACTGTCCTGAAGCCATCCTGAAGCAAAGCCCATTGACAAAGGTACAAAGGAGGAGTTGAAGGTGGCGGAGAGAAGCGGGGGACGGCTGGCTGGCCGGTCGCTTGGCTCGCCTTGCCTTGTCATGCATGCTGATGCCAGTACCAGAACGTGGATCATTTTGTGATGCCAGTACCGGGCCGTGGCACTAAAAAGGTTGAGGGCCACTGCTGTAGCAGATCAAAAGACCTGTGGTCAAAGGAACTGCCTGCAGAACTCAGAACAGGGGTGGGTTTCTACCAGTTCACACCTATTCGCTAGAACCGGTTGTTAACATTCTAAGCGGTTCGGAGAACCGGTTGTTAGAAGAAATTACTGGCCTAATCCTGTAAGGAAGGCAGGAAGGAAACATTCTGTTGTTGCTTACAGAAACTGTCTCTCCCTTAACCCTTATTACATTCTTGGCAGGACTAGACTTCCTGTCTCAGGAACATCTCTGGAGTTTTTTCCCCCTCCTTTGCTGGTACTTTGCTTGTGTGGAGTGACCATTCAAAGTTATAATGGCACTGAAAAAACTGACTTATGACCATTTTTCACACTTACGGCTGTTGCAGCATCCCTACAGTCACGAGAGGCCAGGCAAGGAGAAGCGTGCCTTGATGTGAGTGATGTTGAGTTGGCCACATCCAGCCAGTCACATGATCACCAAGCCACGCCCATCAACTAAACCACACCCACAGAACAGGTTGTTAAAAAATTTGAATCTCCTCCTAACTCAGAGACAGGATTATTGCAAGGGAGAGGTCTGGAGAAGGCTACAATAAAATTTCTGCTGCTCTGAAAATTCCTAAGAGCACAATGGCATCCATAATTCTCAAATGGAAGAAATTTGGCAAAACCCGAGCTCTTCCAAGAGCAACTGAATTAGAAGGGCCTTAGTAAGAGAAGTGGCCAACAACCTGATGGTGACTCAGATTGAGCTCCAGAGATCCTGTGTGGAGATGAGACAGAGTTCCAGAAGGATAACCATCACTGCAGCCCTCCACTGATCTGGACTTTATGGCAAATTGGCTAGACAGAAGCCTTTCCTCAGTGCAAAACTCATGAAAGCCTGCTTGGAGTTTGCAAAAAAGCACCTGAAGTATTCTCAGACTTGTGAGGAACAAGATTCTCTGGTCTGATGAAACAAAGATTGAACTGTTTGGCCTCAATTCTAAATGCTACAATCAGGCACAGTTTATCACCTGCCCAATATCATCCCAACAGTGAACCATGGTTGTTATGTCCTCGGGGCTGACACCAGTTCTCCATCAGGTCCGCTCTTCCTGTGGGGGCGTTTACACCCCCCATTGGTTGGCTCCCTTCGACAGCCGGCTATAAAAGCCGGCTGCTAGGTTGAGCCAACCGCTGTTCGCTGGCAGGTCTGCTGTTAGCAATGCAGACGCGACAGCCCCCTTTATTTCCGAATAAAACGTGTTTTGAGAAATGCTCTGGTGTGGCCTCCCTCCTTTCGGAGATCTAACATTGGCGACGAGGGTGGGATACGGCCAACCAGCAGCAATACAAGAGCTGAAGTCACACACCTGAACGCTGAGCCGTAGCCGCGCCGCTGAGAGCTCGGTCAGCCGTTACAGATACAGAGCGAAGTGGAGCGTGTAGCCGCTCAAGTGCACAAATAGCTACAGGGAAGTAGGGCGCTGAGAGCCTCAGCCGCCCGGCATTGAATCCAGCCGAAATTGCCGGATTCTGCCTAGCCGAGCCTCGGCGCTGCGTTCACAATCGCTGAAAGTTGGTGCGCAATTTAAATCGCTGTCGGCACGAAGCTACAGCCATAGCCGCCTACGCCTTGTAAGGGCGCGAAATTTAAACAGACGTCAGTTACGGCGCTACAGCCTAGCTGCCAAGGGCAATATAGAGCGTGGAAACCCAGAGAGATTCTAAGAGCTGAAACACTAAGCTGAAATAGCACTGCGAACTGCAGCTGCTACCCACACAAACCCAGAGAGATTCCAAGAGCTGAGACACTGAGCTGAAATAGCGCTGCGAGCTGCAGCTGCTACCGCATCCAGGGCCTGTATTCCCAGTGAGATTGATCAACCTGCCACAGGTTGAAACCAAACATGAATTCAAATCCGGCGTTCCCGCCATTTAAGCCAGACGAAGACAAGTGGGACTCTTACAGGAGCCGTTTCAATCATTACATTGATGCTGTTGGGCTGGCCGACGCTACAGACAATAAGAAGAAATCATTTTTCCTGAGTTACTGCGGGGCCACAGTGTTCGACACCGCAACAGTACTATGCGCCCCGAGGGAGTTAAAGAATGTTCCGTGGTCTGAGCTGCTGGAGATACTCTCCAATCATTATTCGCCAAAGCCGTCGCAGATCGCAAGACGCTTTGCCTTTCGCATGAGGAAACAAGTGGATGGAGAAACCATAAACCAGTATATGGCCGCCCTCAGAACCGCAGCCCTTCATTGTGAATTTAAAAACTACCTCGATGACATGCTCCTGGATCAACTTGTCTGTGGGGTCAGAGACACGAGGCTACAGAGGCGCTTATTGGCCAGAAAGGACCTTAACCTCGCCCAAGCAATCGAAGAAGCCCTGGCCGCTGAGCTAGCCATACAGTCAGCCGCTGAAATACAGGGAGGCGCACCCAAAACCAGTCCAGTCACTGTGCATTCCGAGGAAGCAGTGAACGAGGAAGAGCCTATTGAACATTCAGAAGTCCACCGCCTTAAACCATTCAAGCAACCACAGGTAGGAGCTAGACCTAGAGACGGCAACGCGCCTAGGCACACCCAACTTTGTCTCTCATGTGGTGGTCCCCATGCCAGAGCGATGTGCAGGTTCAGAAACGCCACCTGCAACAATTGCAACAAGAAAGGGCACATCGCCAGGGTGTGCCAGGCAACGCATGTGACTCCACAAAAGACATCTTCCTACGCCCCTCCGGGGCCACCCAGGCAAGTAGAAAATTGTTATACATGCTATCAAGCTAACCATACTTTTTTGACTCCTAATAAAATACAACTTTCCATTCATTTAGAAGGTAAACCCTGCCTTATGGAGGTCGATACCAGGTCAGCACTCTCAATTATTTCATGGAGCACACTTAAGAAAATACGTCCCAGCCTGTCCAGGAAGCAACTGCAGAAGAGTCGCCTATCCTTGAGGGACTATCAAGGGAAGAATATTCCGGTGCTCGGAACAGGCAAGTTCCTCGTCAAATTCAAATCCTTTAAAGGCCACCTGCCATTAGTGGTAGTTGATGGTGCCCTTCCTAGTCTTCTGGGGTTGGATTGGTTCCCCTTTCTCGGCCTTAGCTTAACGGGAGTACATGCTGTCTCATCCTCCGATACCGACT